AAGCTGGGGGGTTTTTGGGTAGAAGAGCTAGTTTGCTTCCCTCTTGGTTTTATTAACATTAATTACAGGAAAGGAGGGATTCTCATAATGGCCTTCTTCTGTGTTGGCAATGTCGGGATGAAGAGCTGGCTTGAGCCATGGAGCCCTCAGACAGGAAAGCAGTGAAATATTTACTACTTACCCAATGATATAAAGGGAAAGAAAACCCTTTAGGAGCTGGATGGGTAAATTTCTGTTCCTGTTGCTGCGTGTGATTATAAGCTTTTGCAAGCTCTGTTTTACCTGCGCAGAATGCTTTTACCTGCTTTTTGCCCTCGCTGTTTTTGAGTCAAGGTGACTGCCTAAATTGGAGGAACTTCGTAGGCCATAGCAATCTTAAGAACAAAGATACTGGAGTGCTCGAAGTGTTTACCTGCCCAATACTTTGTTCCACAATATCCAAAGGATAACAGCAATGCTTCCAGTTAAGCTGCAGAAAGTTTGAAAGCTGGTGACGCAGGGGGGCTCAGAGAAAGGAGTGTCTCCCAGTAGCTAGCAATGACCAGGACAGCTCTCCACCACGTAGCAAGAGAATAGGGAACATGCCAGAAACACACCGGTCTCTGGAACCGGTAAGGAAGAGTAACACTTACGTATTGGGTGTATATAATACTTGATAAGGGATGAAGATAAAATGGTCATCTGTAGAATCTGGCACACATCACTTTCCATAATTCTGATATCCCGTATCTGTCATGACCACACTTTTAGAGCAAAAATGCAGAGTACTCTCTGGCTCTCATTTTAGAGAAACAAAAAGTACACTTCCAAAAGAACGCACGCAAGCGTCAGCACTGCCAAATTGTGATTCAGGAGCAAAGTATGCATTTTTCTCGGAGCAGAGAATGTTTCCTAGAGTTTCCTGAGAGTGTTATGAATGAAATGGTCGTGAAACATCTAGTAAGACTCCAGTTAGAGAGGAGTACTTTTGCGATTTTCCGTTCTTTTTCCGCTGTAGAGCTGTTTTCCCAAGCGAGTTTTCCAGCCCAACCTGTTACCTCAATTACACAGTCAACTGTGTGAGTGTACCTAGGCGCCGAGTTCACACGTAGTTGGGAAAAGCCTGTCATAGCTTCCAGCTGCACGCCTCTGAGGCATGTTTCAGGGCTCAAACCTCTGGGCCGATGCCAGGCTGCTGCTAGTGAGACTGCATTGTTCAGAAATCAGTCAGCACCAAGGGGCCAGACAGAGCCTGCGTCCTTTGGTATCCTGGAGTAACTGGCCAGGGTGAACTTCAGAGCAACACAGTAAGTGGTTCCAGCTGGCCCCGAGAGGTATGGCTCTTGACACATCGATCAGTGCTGTTGGAAGTGATGACTATGTCATGCTAGTTAATTTAAAGGCAGTCTGGTAGTTCCACTGAAGTTCTCCACAGAGCTCTTTGGCCTTGTAGTTTAATATAGGTTAATATAGAAAGCAAGCAAGAAATACAAATTTATGCCAGAGAGCCTATTCATACTGAGTTAAATCTTGCTACACCTTCCTGCAGCACCAAAAGCTATAGATCCTTGAAAACACAAACCAGTTCTGGGTCTGCTACAGTCTGAACACACCTGTTTTAGAACAATAGAGCTTGTGCCCGCCAAGATCCTCATTCCAGAAAATCTTAATGCCAGGGTGGTTGTTTTTCTGGTCAGCCAATTCCAAAGTCTAAATCAAAACCGAGTAGGTACGCATCCTACTAGACCCTTTCCCTTAATGCTCTCTTGTACAAAGCTCTCTTCTTGGAGAGGATGGGGTAGAATAAAGACACAGATGTTACGATGCACTCATAATAATGCTTTTAGTGTTACTCCTTCAAAGGCATGTCAGACCTATTTTGTACACGTGGCAGTAACCTGAAACATGTTTTCATGTATTGAAGCTTGTTCAGACACACTGTCCAGCATTTCCACACAAAAGAGAGAGAGTTCATATTTGATCATGTATGTTTATCTGCACTTAAAGCAAATTTATACTGGATAGAGCAACTGATCTCAAATTGACATTTTAAGTAAGTGAAAAACCTGAACATACCAGTTATCACGAAAGACAGCTTTCACAACTGGAATCTCATTTAAAATAAAAATAGATGTTTAATTTGTTTTTTTTAAAAGCTAGAAGATCTTTCATCAGTTCTATGTGTTTTGATGTGCAACTGCAGCTTCAGTGGAGGAAGTGTCTGCAGTTATGTCCCTGTCACAGCAACACGTAACCAGGAACACATGCTAGAAGCACCTTTCTCCTCCTGTCACAGAATCACAAAATCACAGAATGGCAGGGGTTGGTTCCCACCTCTGTGGATCATCTAGTCGAACCCCCTGCTGAAACAGGGTCACCTACAGCAGGTTGTACAGGACCTTGTCCAGGCAGGTTTTGAATATCTCCAGAGAAGGAGAATCCACAGCCCCTCTGGGCAGCCTGTGCCAGTGCTCCGTCACCCTCAGAGGGAAGAAGTTCTTCCTCATGTTCAGACGGAACTTCCTGTGCTTCAGTTTGTGCCCATTGCCCCTTGTCCTGTTGCTGGGCACCACTGAAAAAGAGTCTGGCCCCATCCTCCTGACACCAACCTTTAAGACATTTATAGACTTTTCTAAGATCCCCTCTCAGCCTTCTCTTCTTCAGGCTGAACAAGCCCAGCTTCCACAGCCTTTCCTCGTAGGACAGA